CCGTTTTTGTGCGAATTCATACTAAGACCGCCTATACGTACATACACACTTATTTGTCTATGTAACTATACATATGTATATTCGTATGTATGTGAGTATAGCGACAAACCAATATGAGGATATGTAGAATATATATATATATATGTGTGTATACATATGTATGCACAAAACCCATAGACATGCAGAGTATATACATATATGCTACCCCCCCCCCCCCGCCCCCTCAAAGATCCACCGTTTTTGGAGACTTGCAATAGACACCCGTAGCATGCGATATCGTTTCTCCTTCCGAGGCGTACAACCACCTGAAACATTCTGAAAAACAAACATATATCAGTACAGTATCTAAACAAAGCCTTCTGGCTTACCTACCCCTTCAACTCAAAACCACCCTAAACTTTCGCCATATGAAAAAAACAGCACCGTTCCCGTAGCATGCTATATGAAATCATTTCTGTCATTTCTTCTTACGCGGCGTACAACCACCTGAAGCACCCTGAAAAAATGTTACCGTAATGTATCCAAAAAATCTTCTGGCTTCCCCCTCGAACTCGAAACCCCCTACACTTCTGGCTTACTCCTCGAACTACGCTTGCTTATATTCAGATGTGACAGCACAGTTCCCGTAGCATGCTATAACATTTCTGCTTCCGAGACGTACAACCGCCTGACTACTTTTTGTAGTGAAGATGTGATACCCAGTAGATTTAAAAGAGCATCATATAAGACCTTATGTGCTTGTGAGTCTTGCGGATCATGGGAAAATGGAGAAATGATAACCATTTTGGGAGTCCTGGAACATTGAGGATGAACAGCAAATAGTGAAAGATATTTGCTCACTGTATTCTCGCGTCCCCGGGACTTACTGGAAATGACATTTTTAGCATCACCCTATGCGCTCGAATACTGCCCTAGTCTTATGTTTCGAGGCTTACCATCCTTCCTTCTCCACTATTAGTATTCGATATACAGTACATATTCCATATGCCCAAAAAATGTAAACCCTATAAAGTTTAAGCGCTATAGGGATAACCTTGTGAGGGTTTTAGAGATAAACCCTGGAAAAACCCTGAACCGTTTTGAACCTTATAGGGCTTAATGGTTTGCAAACCTAAGGTCTGGGCATGTATACCTTCAGGTTAAAACCTTTGAGCTTTTTTGGGCCCCTAAAGGGTTTTTAGGGTTCTAACCCGAAAGGGGTTAAGGGTTAAGGTTTGATTGGCTAAACCTTAAACACCTAAGGTTTGAACTCTATGAGCTTAGGTTAAAAAGCCTAAATCTTAAACCCTAAACCTTTCAACGTTAAACCTATAGGGTTCAAAGGTTAAGGGTTTAGGTTTAATGGCCGACTTATGATTAAATCATACCTAAATCTGAAACCCTAAACCTTCAACCCTTAACCATACAGGGTTCAAAGTTAAGGGTCTGGGTTTAGTTGCTCAACAAGGGTTTCGGGGCTTCTCTTTAAAACCCTAAACCCTTAAATATTGTGTGACAAAACTCTTTCCAACCAAGATTGAGAGTACCCATGTATATTTTGAATGCCTAAACCTTAAAGCCAGAGGTCACATGGGATTTCAAGGGTAATTTCGGATTACTAAAGCAGTCCGTTTAAATTTACACGGAAAGCGTGTAAATGCACACGGCCGGAATCCAAGATCCAAGATCTAAGATTTTCCAGGACTCTTGTCGAGGCATCTTGGAATCCTGACTTTCGAAACCCGACGGTGCAAATTTAAACGGTTTCGCGCAAGTTTTCACGGCCCGTGACTCCCAGATTTTAGTACGGAGTGTTTAAGATGCTGGGCTTAGGGTTTCCTGCATTTAAACTTGCATTTAAGAATTTAAGTTAAATACGGGCAGACCCCAGGAACCAAGAACCAAGAACCAAGATGCTCAGGACTCTTGATTCTTGGTTCCTGGGGCTGGGCTGCATTTAAACTGCATTTTACAAATTAAGTTAAATGCGGGCAGACCCCAGGAACCAAGAACCAAGAACCAAGATGGTCAGGACTCTTGATTCTTGGTTCTTGGTTCCTGGGGCTTGGCATTTAAAACTGCATTTAAAACTTTAAGTTAAATGCGGGCAGACCCCAATCTTGGTTCTTGGTTCTTGGTTCCTGGGGCTTGGCCGCATTTACCTTAAATTTTTAAATGCGGATATAAATTCAGAGGGCCTTGTCCGCATTTAACTTAAACTCTTAAATGCGACTTAAATTCACGGGTTGTCGTCATGTGCTTGCCCCGTAAAATCCTTATAACAGTTGAGCAGATGGTTCCGGGTTGCTCAATATTCTTTTCCATGTATAATACTCACCTTCTACAAGCAAAAAAGGTGGATCTGTGGGGCGGGGCGGGGTACCACATATATATACACATATACATATATGCATGCACACGTAGCGTGGCATGAAGCACTCAAGAAACCAAGAGCGCCTCAAGCAGCTCACACTCCTGAAAGCGCGGATCGCTGCAGTCCTCGCTTCGGTTCGCTCAGTGTCTGTGAGGAGTTGACATTACTTTAAAGTTACATTGCCAATTCGAGCAGACTCTGGATTCGGCCTTTGCAATACCTTGCATTTGGAGTTAGGTTGCGGTTTTAGTATGGTTTTAGTCGTACCTGTCCGCTGCCGCGCAGTGACGCGAATGATTGAGCCGTTGGAGGACCCTAGTGGTCTCCCGAGCCATTCGCTTCAAACGTGTTCACATACCGGGCTTCAGTTGGTTTGTCGGCTGGCATCTCGTGGCCACTCAGATTCTGGACTGTAGGCCTCCGGTTTTCGTGCTAGATCGTATGCTGGATGTGATGTAGCACATGGTCCTGCTGGCGCTCCATCAACTTGTCTCGAAGTGAGCACCGACATCTGCAGGCATGCGAAGTTGAACATGCGATCTCGAAACTACTTTTTGACTATGGCCCCAGCAGCTCCGTCTGAATGTGCAGTCGGCTGTCCTTTCAAGGGGTACAGCTGCGACCAGCTCGCGTATGACAATGTCAATGGTGCAGCTTAACGTAACTATCTTATCTATCTTGATTGGGTTCTCAGGTGAATCATGGTGATCTCCGCCTCCACCCAGGAGGAATAGTAGCGAACAATGTAGGGGCAAGCTGCAGCCTCGCGTCCAGAATCTGCAAGACCGACAAGGAGGCATGAGACTATGCGTGAAAAAAACTTCACAAAGACTTCAGCTTGGCTGACAAAAACGAATCCAAGAATCTAACCATGAAATGAAAACAGGCAAGTAATGGCAAGCACAGGAGTGAAGGGTCCAGCTGCCTCCATGGACACGCTTGCCAATGCGAGGGCCTCCTTCAGCTGGCTCTCACGGAGGCCTTGCTGAAGCTTGGCGCGCACGACTTGAACGACTTTCGTTAACCCGAGACATGTTCATGCTCTTATGTGGTGCGCAGCAAGCACTTGTTGTCTGGCACTGTGCAAACGACATGTGTCGGCAGCAGTCGCGTCCTTTCTGAACATCCTCTGCTGTCCAAGAGAAGCGGCTGCTCATTCATGCATGTTTTCCGGTGGCCACTCGACGATGTGCACCCTTGTAAGAACTATGCAACCATGTTCGTGCACACTCGGCCATGCAGCAGGGGACCGGGGGAGTCGCTAACCTTAGCTGTCTTAGCTGCCTTAGCTCAAGAAACAAAAGCACTTTTTGGTCGCGCCTGATCAACGAGCCTGGCCGATCCTTGTTCTTGGTTCGGGCGGCGTTGCTGTCATTATTGTCGCTGACAGGTTTGTCGAGCTCAGCCAGAGAAACGTGCCCAACTTCGTACTCCGTGGACTTTGTGGATGAGTCCAAAGGGGAAGAGGGGCTCTTAGAGGTCACAAAATGTAGACAGACGAGAGCGCCGAACTTCAGCTTGCCACAGCCTCTGTTAGTGAATCCAGCTTAGCGTCTGTCGCGATGGACCATGATGAACCGGCAACGCGACCAACAAACTTGCCTGCATTGGTACTGCCGGGACGGACTCACCGGCCAACGGCAGGGATGCAATCAGCCACCTCCGCATGCATTTGTGGCCGCGGCCGAATGGTTCATCATGGCTGATCGGACTGCCTGGCGCACTTCGTGTAGGAAACTGCGCTGGTCGCCGTTCTGGCATTCTCCGTTTTGGAAGCTGAATGGCCCCACTGCTGCCATGCAAGGATGCTGCAATACACTGCTCGACTAACTTCTCCATCTTCTGGTAAGCTGTCCAACTCGCACAACTGCGTGCACATCAGTATCACTGCAGCTGCATGTGCAAGAGCGACTGAGGAGCACTTTCAAACCTATAACCCAAGCCGGTACACCCGACGCGTCTGACTTAGTCCTTACTTGGGTCTCAGCAGTGAAAGACTTGAAGGACCGAAAATGGGGCCGGCGCCTCTCGTGACCTGTATGGTTTTCTTGACCTTCAGCCGGCTCGAACACATATGCCATATGCAACTTCATGCAAGCTCCCTATCCGCCCTACCGGCAACTCGGCAATCCACGGCAAACTCTCCACATCGGCCTTCCCTTTGTCCTCTGACACCATTACTTTGTGTGCCACATGCTGCTACCCAGGCCAACTATCCATGTGGAAGTTGGCCTGCACGCGACATCGTGTTACGACGTCCTCACGTGAGACTGGTGAAACCCATCGTTCACCATCACTGGTCTTTCACTCCATCACACTTATATCTTCCAAAGATTGCTCGAAGGAATTCGCACTGACCAGACTGGCGAAGCGCTTCCTTTTGAGAAGCAGGCGGTTGCTAACTATCTGCAACGTTGCAGGTGGCTCGAATTCAAGCGCGTGGCCATGATTGGTTCTTGTGTCTTGCACAAATCGAAGAACGGTACCCAATAGCATGCTCATGCTCACTGTCCACACCACAACTGAACTGTTGGATTTGACCACGAGCAATTCCTGTCCCTGCGCAATAGAGCAATAGAGACGACATGCGGTATCGAAAATGGTGCATGCTGTTGATCTTTAATCTGGTCTCTTGAGCACTTTGGTTCTATTGCGCGATCTTCTGCGGCACTATGGTTAGGAATAATATCACCAGGATCATGCAGGAGATGCGACTGCGAGAGCTGGCCCCCGTTGTTGACACCACCTGCACGGCAACTGCCCCCAAACAAGAACTTTCTTGGAACTCTTTGCTTGCGATGCGAAGAGAGCTTTCAAACACTCCGGCTTGCTTCCGAGCTTTCGCAAGACTTCACAACCTGCGTTCTGCTGACCGGTCGAACCCCTTGCAATATCTTGCAATGCTGTGTTGCTATTCCCATCTTGCGCTCATTGGACATCGTTAGACATGCTGCCGAAGCCGCCTGAAACACTTTGGCTGGCATCTGTGGCTCGTTGTTGGGCACTGGAAAAGAGACCATGATTCCAGGATCTCCGACCTCTGTGCCTGCAAGGACACGCTCAGACACGCGGTGCAGCCTTCAAAGACGAGGTGAAAAGATGCGAAAAGCGTGTCCAACTGCGGCAAAGTGGCAAGTTTGCTCTGAGCATAAGCTGACATACCACTCACTGGCAAAAGGCTTGATCAAGGGAACCTCAGAAAAAAAAAAAAAGTCGCCTCGCTTCCTGCCGAGCGTCTGGAACAAGCAGACCCGGATCAGGCCACCTTCCCCCTGACCCAACCTTTCCCCATGCAGAATTTTGTGACGCTCTGCGGAGGGTCCTGCCTGTCGGCCTCAAAATGCACCCCCCCACCCCCCCCCCCCCCCCCCCCCCCCCTCCCCCCCCGCCCCCCCCCTCCCCACCCCCCCCCTCCCCCCCGCCCCCCCCTCCCCACCGCCGCTTGACCTAAATCAACAGCTCCGTCTCCCCCTAGCCACATACTGCATGCTCTGGGGCGGCCCGGCTTGGGCTGCCGAGGCGGCGCGCGCAAGCGTTTACAAATTACATGGAACACATCAACATCTAACCAACGCATTGGCGGCGCAGTGAAGCCAGTCACGGACTGATGCCAACATGGCGAACTCTCTCAGCAGATGCACCAATGGCGGAGACATGTTTTTGGTTCATCGCACAGCATTGACATCTGGTCTGAGCTGTCGGCCATGACCGGAAATTGCCATTGGTACGTGCCAGCTATGATAATCTGCGCCTCGCCTGTCTCTGCAACTTCCACCAAGACCTTGATGTACCTTGGATGCTCCTATAGGGCCAGGGTCGTAACTAGGGTCCATGGTCGCCATCTGTGCTCTGTGGAACCTGCCTCAAATTGTCAAAAACCCGCCATTCCGTATCAATGGTGAGCGGAAACTGCTTGTTGACGTTCCTTAACCTTGGCTGCAGAACGATGCAGAACGTGACCTCTTAATGGAGTTGCTCGTGCCTGCGCGGACTGAATCACTGTGTTCGCCTGTTGAGACACTTGCCAATGCTGCCTAGGCGCTGGTTCTTGTGCTGAATGTCATGTCGGTAATTCTCAGGCAGGGACACCAAGATGGCCTTCACGTCCTTGACCCGGCGTAGAAAACTCACCTCCACCTGCACATTGGAGACCTGGCACGTTCTTGGTCGGACTCCGCAACAAGGAGTGATTTTGCAACGTGCCATTCAGTCAGCCGTTGGAAATGTTATGGTGGAGATGTGCTAAGTTATGCGAAGTTATAACAATGCAAGCGTGAGCTCGATAAACGAACGCATGTTGAACCCCGACGATCTTGCCTCGCCCATCTGCGGCGACTGCATCCAAGAAAGGGATGGATTGCCCATTTCCAGATCCTGCACGAAGCCTGAGATCTCTGTGATAACTCATGAGTACTCATGATCTCTGACTCTCCGTGCGCCTAACATATCTTAACATCACTCCGAACCCTAGTTCTGTCATGTTCCCTACAACTCGCAGCGGCGTTCATCCAGGGAGCGAGGCTGTTGCACCGCCAAGGCCGCATCCACCACCGCAAAGCCAGGGTCCAACACCCGGATCTGCCAGAAATCCTTAGGCGGACCCACAATGATCCAATGATCCACAGGCGCTTTTTTGCGTCGAATGATACAGATAAACTGCTAGAGCGAACCTACATAAGCAAAACGAAATTCGTTGGGGCACAAAGCCGGAACGAATTTGCTGAGGCCTTGCGATATTGCTGCGTTTTCGCTTGTGGCAAGCAGGCTCGGCCTCAACAAGCATACTTTCCATGATTCGAATGTCGGGCTCAGCCACAACCCCATCCGAAATTTCCATGATTCGAATGTCCGTGCATTAGATCGCTGCCGCTCCAAAGACCATTCTCAAACATCATGCAAAGGCCTGCAGAGTCATATCCTATCTATGACCCAAGGAAGAGAACGCCGGCTATTACCATCGCTGCTATGGGTCGAAGATATTGGGCACTTCGGGGGTCAAGACGTTGAGCAAGAACATGTACAGCACGTTGTCCCCTTCTTGGGTGCCTCCCTCCAGTGTGACATTCACAGTCCTCTGCAGTGTTTGGAGATACTGTGGGAGGGCTTCACGGACGCGGAAGTCTTCGCAGGCCAACTCCAAGCCGGTCTCTTCTACCTGAAACTTGTCTGGAGGCTGCTGAGGGCTAGCACTTTTAACGACAATGCTTTTGCAGCTTTCATCTGAGCCTGCCTTCGGACATTGCACCAGGAAGGTGTCTGGTGCAGTGATCAAGGCAAACTTGCCTGCAACCATGGCCGGGACGTAGAACGACACTGCCAGCCATCCTCGACGCGACGGGACCCTCTCAAAATTAAGCATCTGCACGAATTCACCGTACTTGCATCTCAACCTTCTCGATGTCAATCATTCAAGAAACCCGCTGCACGCCGCGACACAGCAAGGCACACTGCTGTTGGTACTAAGTCTTGCTAAAACGTTCCGTCTTCGCAGCATCTTGCAGCTCAGCACTTGCCCGAGTTGACGGCCCCTATACTGCCGTCTTACTGACCCGCGTGACTCCGACTTTTTCTGGTGCCCCCAATGACCCCTTTGACCCCCCACCCTACTCCCACCGCGATGATACCCAAGACCGCGCTTCTTCAATGTCAACCTGCCTGGCTTCTGCGGGCCCTCTACAGCTCACAATGCAGCAAGGTCCGTCTCGCTGCTGTAAAGTGGCCCGTTGCGCTGGGAATCGCGCCGTACATGAGCGAGACGGGGCAAGGTGCCTCTGCAAATCTGCAACGCACCACGTGTAATCAAACATGAACAAACCATCCCTCACTACTGCCTAACACGACTCCCAGCTTGTGTGGGAGCTTAACATCTGAGACATCAAGACCCCCCCAAAGCCCTACAGGCGGCCGCCTATACAAGCAAGGCAAAAACCCTCACTTCATCTGCGTTCGTGAAACGACACCGAATCCAGCAGCTTCGGCCCAACCATTTATGGGCTCTGCTGTGACCCCCGTGATGTCGTCAACAAGAACCTCAAAAAGCAACATTGGCGACACGGTCACAATTCAGACCGGCTCATTGCAAGTCGTGCAAGATGCGCGCAATGCACAGTACTCAAAAACATGGCGACACATCCCTGCCTCTTTGGCCAGCACAAACCACCGCAAATCAGGTACGTCAGTAGGCGGTGTCATTATCCGCCTCACCCATGCAACACGAGGCTTTCGGAGGGGGCACGTTGGCCCGTCTTGGTGCAGTGCATATCGAACAGACTAGAGGTTTCCCAGAGACCCAGAGACCATACGGACTGGTAGTGCCAGACCAGACCCGTTGTCAACTGCATGTGGCAACTGCCCCAGAATTAACCAGCGCTTTCCCTGCACATGCACCGGTGTAAGAATTAACCCACGCCTAGTTGATGCCAACGCAGACATGCCAGTGCGCATGGGTTGTGGCTGCCAAGCAGCAGGTTGAACGTCATGCCGGTAGTTTGGTCCAGCGCGCCCTCGCCCTGCTCAATGCTCAGCCCGACGATTAGCCGAGAGGTGGCAGAGGCCGAAGCCCCATAGGGCGCAAAGCCATAAGGCAGAAGCAGCTGAAGTTTGCTGAATGGCCCCTGCGATGGACCCGTCCGTACGTGAACTCGCACATTCACCGCAGATTCTGGTGGGACGCGGCTCACACTGGAAGTTGCAGTCAGAACCATTTCCTTGGTGGCAACTTAGCGGCAAAATTCCGAAACTCCAGCATCCACACCATACTAAGGGAGCGGTTACCGTGCAACATGGTGCAACGAATTCTCGAACTGGCATCCGAGTGATTCTACGTGGGTTCGCTTCTTAGAGCCGGACGGTCCTAGACCTTTAAACCACAAGCTTGACAGCTTGAGGATTTGGGCTTTCATGGCTTAGGGTTTAACACATCTTTGGGTTTAGGGTCTAGGGTCTAAGGTTTAGTTTAGACATAAGCTCTCCGACCAAGAAAATTGCAGAGTTGGCAACCGCTAATGGGCCATCTGAAGGGCGTCTGGGCTTCTCTGACGGTTCCATGGGGTCTGGCAACAGGAGGCTTTCCGCCAGAGGGAGGGGAATGGGGAGGGGGAGAGGGGGAGTAAAAATCAAGCATATGTTTGTTTGACCATTTTGATCCAAAAAGGCATCGTGAACCATTTCATAAAGGACATGTGTGCACCCATGCCTGCGGAACTCTAAACACAGACATATGCACACAGATGTTCTTGTCGAGCTGCGACGACAGGCTATTTGTATTTTAGGCTTACAAGGCATCAATGCGTACGTCAGGAGTCCGGAACAGCAATGGCTCCCGGCGTCAAACCATCGTTCGTATTGGACAGAAATCCAAGTGCCTGGCCAGAGGGACAGTTGGGGGTGCAAAGGCAGGCGCCGCATGCTCTTGATCTACCATCTGATACGGATTCAGTCGAAAGTACCTTGGTGCCTTGAGCGATCGATTGCTGACATTTGTTTTATGCATACAAGCGGCGTCTTCTGTCAGAATGCTCCACATCGTCGGTGCAGCAGATGCACGAAGCCACATACCTGCATGTCGTGCCAAAAGATGCCAAAAGGAATACAAGCAGTGGCCTCCCAAATCCCCAGCATTCCCGACCGTTCCCTACCCAGGTGCTTCAAAACGCTAGACACCGCTAGACATTGAGCCGAGTCTCGCAGCCGGTAATCTCTATTGGCCTCCAGAGCCAGTTCTCGGTACTCAAGATCTCCTGGCAGCACCGGCTTCATATGTCTACTGCGCTTGACTGCGTGTGTCTGTGTGTGTGTGATTGATTGATTGATTGGCGCGCCCTTCGTTTTCGTTGCCTCTGCAATGGCATGCGGCATCACCCTTTTAGGCAATTTTCCTCCTCTTCCATCTTCTATTTGACCTTACGACTCACCACCGTGCCCTTCAACGAACACTTCACAAACACTTAACGTGAACTCGGAGTCTGATTGGCGCGTCCTTCAAGCTTCAGGCTATTCATCACCAGATCCAGGGACGCCTGCAGGCAAAAGGGCAAGGACGATGGAAACTGATGGAGAAACTGTGCAATTGTGCTGTACAAATTGCAAGTCTGTTCCCCAAACAAAGGGAGGCTTCAAACGCCGCAGAACTGCATGTGGCGAGCGGGTACCGCCACTTTTGATTGTACCAAGGGACGGAGACTACCGATCTCAAAACGACCGGGCAGCATCCGCTCTGGCGTAGCACCAGGCACAAGAAGGCGAGCGTGGCTTTGCGCACTGCAATGATCGCAAAGCCGAGCGCTACACACGAGGTATCACAAGGTTCCGACATTCCGACAGCCCAAAGAGTGTGCAGCACACGACAAGTGCAAGTGCCGAGAATGGAGTGGGGTGGCGTGCAGAGACCGAAGAGAAGGCGGCCCCTCACAGAGAGCACGATGCACAACGACCATCAAACGAGCATAGCGTATCATAGCGTCACACGAGCATGCAACGCACCTCGTTATCATGACTATCGAGCTAGGATGTGAATGCGTCCTGACAAAAGTGGCAAGACACTTTGTAAAAGACCTGTCCTACAAAGCTTTGCAAGTAGCGAATGCCATCGCTGCCTGGCTGAGCACATGCTCTGGTCTCATCGCGCCGATTGTCAAGCGCATTCCGATGACTATGCCGACACTGTTGCCTCGTCAAGCCGTGAACATAGTTACAACTGACGATGGCCATCGTAGTGGCGCTTCGGTGCGTAGAGACCCTTCTTCGTGCCGATGCCTTCTGCATGCCCTTTTTCTATCAAGGAGCGTACATGGAAAGCTCTCTCTGTATGCAATTCATTGGTCGATCTGCCTGATTCTGTGCGTTTCTTCTCCAGCACTCTCGCTCCTCCCTTCTTCTTCTCCAGCATGTTGACATTTGCTTTCGGTATGCACACGTTGCCTGTGACCTTCCACTTCCCTGGAGCCTGTGTGTTGGATGCCTGTGTACATTGTGTACCCTTTTGATTAGAGAGAGACTCTTGTTTTGCGGCGTCGCCCCGCAGTTAAACGGAAGACATGTTCTGAGATCAGCATGGCACCCCTCTCCCCCCCCTGGCCCCGGGCCCCCTTAGCTCCTGGCTGCTCGCTCTCGATCACTGGCTCACTCACGTTGTCTGCCCGCTCGCTCCGCAACAGACTACATGCCGCCAAGCATCGAATGACTGTCTGGCTTGTCACGTTGACTTCTGAGACGCGGTTGCAGGCCCACGTGCCATTTTCAGCGACGCCTCCTGCATACGGTTGACGTGATTGGCGTAGTTGCAAAGAAGCAACAAGTAGGCCGACGGTAAGTGCACGTGGAGTTCTTGTACAGTTTCAACCCCGGTCCGTGCTGGCCCAAGCACATCTCCAATGTTGATTCATAACCAGTTTCGGTACTGGGCTCCCACGGTGCTTGTCCAAACGGCACTGTGTTCCTAAAGTTTGAAGAGCAAGAGGACACTGGAACATACAAGAAAAGTCCAGCACTACTTTCTTGCGCCTTCCCTGACTGCTACAGCACTGTGATATCTGGCAGCTGGTTGATTTCAAAGAACAAAAAATACTGAAAAGCTTAGCGTCGTGATGATCAGCGCATCTCCCTGCAACATGATGTTGCTCAATCGGATGAAAATCTCGAACCGCGCCAGCCTGAGAATCACTCACAAAGTAATGGTGTACTAAATGCAGATCCCTGCAGCGAAAATCAGCGAGATGATATGCGAAATGCGACATGGAGCGAAACGGACTTGGACTTTAAAAAGCGCCGGGTGCTTCTTTATACTTTATCTCTGCTTGTTTCATGTATTTTGCTTGGGCACGTATTCGTGTGGCATGGCAGCAGCGGGCTGACAGAGTCAGCTTGCTGACCAGACCAATGCTCCACCACCGTCTCGCTCCAGAGGCGCAGGTTTTCAGCGAGGACCTCAGATTCACGCGGGCCGCAGGCCCCAGACCTTCATATGAGACGCCCTCATCACTTCGATTTTGAGAGGACTTCGTTCCCCGAAAACCCTATCGTTCTGGTGGAAACCCTGGCTTGAGATGAAGGCGGCTTTAGAGAATGCCCAACAGATAAAAGCTACTGTAGAAAATGCGCCTACAAACTCGACTGTCCAAGGGTATAGCTCTATCGGCAGCCAACACCCCGCCCCAACCCCCCACCCCAACCCCCCACCCCAACCCCCCACCCCAACCACCCACCCCAACCACCCCAACCACCCCAACCACCCCAACCACCCCAACCACCCCAACCACCCCAACCACCCCAACCACCCCACCACCCCACCCCACCACCCCAACCACCCCAACCACCCCAACCACCCCAACCACCCCCAACCACCCCAACCACCCCAACCACCCCAACCACCCAACCACCCCACCCCCCAACCCACCCCAACCCCCCCAACCCACCCAACCACCCCCAACCACCCCAACCACCCCAACCACCCCACCACCCCAACCACCCCAACCACCCCAACCCACCCACACCCCCCCCCCCCAACCACCCCAACCCCAACCCAACCACCCCAACCACCCCAACCACCCCCCCCCCCCCCACCACCCCCACCCCCACCCACCCCACCACCCCAACCCCAACCACCCCAACCACCCCCCACCCCCACCACCCCAACCACCCCAACCACCCAACCACCCCAACCACCCCAACCACCCCAACCACCCCAACCCCCCCACCACCCCCAACCACCCCAACCACCCCAACCACCCACCCCCAACCACCCCAACCACCCCAACCACCCCAACCACCCCACCACCCCAACCCCAACCACCCCAACCACCCAACCAACCACCCCCCCCCCAACCACCCAACCCCCCACCCCAACCCCAACCCCCCCCCCCAACCCCCCACCCCCAACCCCCCCCCACCCCAACCCCCCAACCCCCCACCCCCACCCCCCCCCCCAACCCACCACCACTACTGCCCTATTGTTCATACGAAGGGTCCTTTGCAAAAGCCTGAACCATTAGAGGCAGATGCAGCCATTTGCTCGACATTCCATTTGTCCAGGGAGTCTCTGTCTTTTAACGGGCAGATTCTACGTCAAGCATTTCCCTATAGAACATCATCGCTTTGCCTAGTGTCTCACCTCCTGCGTCCTCGCCATTTTTTTTCGGCAAACACCGAATTCTTGAGAACAATCCCTTGAGTCCTACCCTATCGGAGGTCCTATCATTTGTCATGAGGCTCCATTTTAATCTATCTCCTGTAACCTCGTCCCATTTTTCTTGAGTCCTGGCAACGTTCCAGTGTTAGGATGCCCTTTTGTTCTCGTATGATACACGACTTCTCCTTGGCTGATGTGAATTAGGTAGGTTCGTGGGGGCACTGTCTGAGGTACTCAGGCTAAGGGTCAAACGTGGCCAACGTGGCCATTCCGCGCTGTATGTCAGATTTCGGGGCAGCCAGAGTTCAAAATGAACTTCTTCTCCACTCGCCAGCCAACCACAAGTGGCAAACAAAGAGAATGCATGCATATAAATACAGTCATAAAACGCACACACAACACACACACACACACAGACACACACACACACACACACACACACACACACACACATTTATGCATATACATATACATATACATCTACATACACATATACATACACATATACATATACATATACATAGACATATACATATACATAGACATAGACATATACATAGACATAGACATATACATAGACATATACATTTACATATACATAGACATATACATATACAAACAGACATGCCTTCCTGCACGTGACCCTCCGAAGAGGGCCGGCCAACATGTCTCTCTCTGTTGCTCTTCGAGAGTCAGAGGTTGTTTTGGGGCACTACACTGCGACAGGGCACGGCGCCGGGCAGCCGAAAGCCCTGCAGGAAGTTGATTCTCCTGACGAGTTATGAAAACGTGTAGTTCCTACGGATAGCATCAGGACAGGTCAACCGCTTCATTACTCTCCTTGCTGTCTCGCGCAACAGCTGTGAATCTGCATACGCTCGAATGCCTAAGCTCTGCCCCCAGCATCAACGAAATGCTTGACTTCAGACTGTGAAAGGTGCACTGCCGAGCTGCTTATTCTCGTGGGCCCACCTCCATCACCGAGCCGAACAAGTGAGAGAGTCAGCTGGGACGGCTGTCCCGGTACAAGCGTGCCACCTCCAGCGTTGGTCAAGACTACAGCAACCACGAACAGCTCCCACATCTTACCTGTACACCTGATCTAATAAAGATCAGGAGGTTGAGAAAAGCAGCTGAGAGCATAGTTATAGAAATATCCAGAGTGAGGCAAGGCGCCGATGAGAACCAGCCGGCTGCCTGTTGTCAGCTCATGTCGAATCCAGGGAGCGTTGACGCGAGCATTCTGGAACTGGAAGCCCGTGGGTTCGTGGACCACAATGTCTAATGCTGTGCCCCACACACCTCTGACAACATGTCTTCAGACAGGCAGGGCATGACCTACGGAGCATCTAAAATGGGTTTTCCATGGTTTTCCGCACCAGCTGCGGCGAGGGCTAACACACCTAGGCATAGGAAGCCTGCAACAGCTTAGAAGCACGCTTGCCATGTATACCACGCTAGGGCTACCACAGTTAGTCCGCGGAGGTCTTGGGCGGCAAGTTCTGGTTTTGTTGAGGCACCCACCACCTTATCCTCTTCCCATGCACCGCTTTACGCCTCCCCCTTGAGTTGCCTGCTTTTGCCTGCAACGCCAGAGCAGCATAGCCTGGAAAACCTCAAGGACCTCCTGCACCTGGTGGGCCACCTCGCAGGCCACCTATATACCTCGTCTGACCCAAAGGAACCCTGCAGCATGCACATGCACATTTACGGACCTCCCGAACCCCCCATGGACCTTTGATGTCTTATATTCATTGATCACACGATTGCTCCAGGCTGGCCCAGGCAGAGGCGGGACGCGGCGGGACTCGCGGTGTTAACATAAAGACATGCCTGGACCCAGATGACAATACTCTGGATACATGTTATGGGATGGCTATGGGCACATAATGGCACGTACGGGTACTTGCCGCCCTGTCACTTGGAATGAAATCGAACTGTAAATCGCTCATGGCACCCGCGCGTCTCTCAAAGCCCACCAAAGAGATTGTCAAGTTGTCCAAGGTTCCATACACCGGCCAGCTCTCAACGAGACCTCCACTGAAAGGATATGGCGGAATGCTGCCTTGCCAGAGCTCCATCCTCCAGTAATCCTCCACGCTGTCTGGCATCTTCGTGGGGTTCAAAACGCTCATTTGAAAGGCAACTCTCACCTGCTCGCCCAGAGCGATGCCACGAAATTGGTTGCTCTCCATGACGTGCATTTCGAGCTTGCACTGTAGAGCCTCTAAATTAGCTGCCATCGTACCTTCAACTGATTCATTCACTGGAAAATTCACAGCACAGGTCACATGGACATTGACAACCAGTTGCCAAATAGAGGCCGCTTGCCGAGTTGCAATTGCAGTCCGGAGGGGGTGACAAAACAAGTGGCCGAAAGGTTCCGATCCATTGGAAGTCTCGGCATCCGCCCTCTGGGGCACGAAGGTCGAAGCCTGCACAGTCAGTCCAAAAATCGTCTTCAGCAGCACTGCCGGTACGAACATCCGATTACTTCAACTGCTCCTGCTAGTGAGTGTGTACTAACTAAATCAAACATGGCCCTTATGCCAGGAACGTTATCACTTTCCGCACCATACACAGTTACTATTTTCCTACGACTTCCCTAGGTTCTTGCCTCAAGAATTTCCCTGTTCGGAGTCTATTGCGTCTATTGCCTGTCGCCATCCGTGCTGTTCCCTGCCTGGTGGGGGCATGATGACTATCACGTCACCATTTCGCAGCACCGAGTTGAAGATCATGGACATATTGATGTGTGGAGTTCGCACTCCTGCCACATCTCGACTGCTCAGGCTATATCTGGGTGCAGCAGCGAGCAAAATAAAAGCTCAAAACATGTGCCGAGACAGGGTTCTACAGGGTTCTATCACGTGCTTTCTGTCAATCGAAAGACTGCGCCTGTACTTACATAACAGTTTTCATCAATCTAGCAACAGCCGTCGTCAATCTTGGAGCTCAGGTTGGAGTCCCGATACATCAATGAATCAATGAATGTGTACTGCAGCTAGAAGCAGTCAGGCTTAGACTCAGACTTCGCGGCTTAGCAGAGGCTCAGCGTGTCGACGTGAGATTCACTTGAGCGACCTGCAAGACCCGTCACACCTCCTGCGCCTTTCTTTTGTAACACTTGATGTTTGCTCTCTCAGAAACAGACTCTTTCTCGGAATCTTGGAGAACAGGTTTTGCAGCGCCGTGTCCTGCAGTGAACTCCTGCGCGGTATTCATGACTGTAAACTCTGGTGACGGCGCAATCGTCGGCGTGCCTGGAACACTGTAGCCTCAGGAACCCCACAACGACATACACAGATCTGCATCACCTAGATGATCGTCCCTTTTTGCACTGCCCATGTCTTTCTTTTGCGATCGCAGAATATTGCAAAGACATGCAGCTGTCCAGCCGAATGCTTTGGCCAGTTGCCATGAACCTTTTGAAGGACTCCAAGAGCCACACCTTGCTGCTCAGAGTAACTGCAAAATATAAAGTTAAGACAACAATTTGCAACACATGAGATCTGCCTCTGCTCCCCCCATGCTCGCTCCCTGTTTGAGGGAGCCACGTTTGAGTTTGGCCATGTTGGTACATCTATGTTCTTGACGACAGATTTCAAGGAGTATGTCACCAAGGGCTCAAGGGCCTTGGCGTTGATCAAGGTGTACCTAAGTGCAACAAGGGATTTACAGCAGCTTTCTTGTCATGCTACGTCAATGTCGTCATCTCTTTTCAGGCCCATATCTGCAATATCTTCCTTCACCGATTGTCTGAAGCGCTAAAGAGTCGAACAGTATTGATGCTAAGAGGCGTCATATTGGCCAAATTGTCTCCAGTGATAAAGCACGTGGCATCACTGAAGCCGAATACAGCAGTTGTGTCCCACAAGAGTCGGTCCTGCAGCATCAACCCTCTGGCTCGAATGCAAGCTCACCCCCCCCCCCACTGCCTGAGGCTACCCCCCCCCCCCCCCCCCCTACCCCTTGCCCTCCCCCCTTGCCCCTCCCCACCCCCCCCCCCCCCCCCCCCCCCCCCCCCCCCCCCCCCCCCCCCCCCCCCCCCCCCCCCCCCCCACGATTTTTTTTGTTGCGCGACGGGCACCCCGCCTCACCCCCACCACCCCTTCCTACTGCAGCTACCTGCCATGCCACTTTCAGCCATCGACCATCCTTGCGTTCCACCGAGATCTCAACACACAGTTCGAAATCACCGGCTCGAAACTGGAAGCCGGGTGCGGCAAGCAGTACCTGGGCTGAAAAACAGCTGCGAGGCGACATATTGTAACATGTAACAGAGTGGAAACCCGTTTGTTACTTTGGGCTTGTTTTCGGCTTGTTTTGGGGCCCAAGAGAGGTACGAGGCTGCCCTCCTCTGCATCTGGCTCCAGCGGCGCGACGCCGCCGCCGAGTGGCTGCAAACGCCGGTTCCTCTGGCGAAGGAGGCCCTCCAAAGAAGACTCTTTAAATCTCTCGAACCTCAGGCTCGCAGCCGAAAAAACCGCATGTTCATACTCTCATTAAAAAAGCTAATATGAATGACTTACGAATCTCCCCCGCTTCAACATCGAAGAGCAACCCCAGACACCATTGACTACAGGAATCACACTCCGATTCGCAAGCGAACATTGCCACTTTTGACCAGCAGGTTCCAATCCCATAGGTGCCAGAGGAAGAAGGACATGGACACTGAGGCTTTTTATGCCGCAGAAGCAAAACAACAAGATCTGCACCACCAAAAACACAAACCCTGCTCAAAAAGCCAATTACTGCGTCCAGCATTCAGTGTGTAGAGTCCTGCATGCTCCCAACATCACCCTCAAATACCAAAGCTTTCACTCCTAAGAAACTGTGAGAGAAAATACATGAGCGCCGAGTATTGAACGTTCACCATACAAGATCATCTTGGTGTCGGGCCTTGGCATCCTGGGCCCTGGAATCATCGTGTAGGGTTTGAAATCCAAACCTGGGACTTCAGGACATGATCTGGACATCAGGCCGGACTGTTGTTGGAAGGGTTCCAATACCAAAAAAAAGCACATGGGGGCTTAAGCATCCCAGCCGCGAAATGGCATGTACTGCTGCTCTATGGTCTGAAGCAAAGGTTGCACATTCAGCGGTGATGCCAGATGTAGCGCAGTTTCTTCGTGATCGAAAGTTGCCACTGGCAGTGAGTCGAAAGGCGCACCTGCCTCATACACAAAATCCAGTGCCCACTGGCTCCCCACTTCTATCTGAAACTCGGGATTCTGGACCTGAATGGTGAATGCATACATACTGTTGTCCTCAAAAGCAGGAACTGTTGTCCCAACAGGTGCTGCAGCTTGCAAAACCAATGGGTTTGGCACCGAAATCCGTGCACTGCTCTGAATCCCCAGGCAGGCCGCAGGTTCCAGGTTTGCTGGCCAAGGTTCAATGATGCCTGGGCACCATGTCTGTGTAGGAAACTGGGCTGCGTTGCAAGGATGTCGAGAGCTGCTCGGGCTCAAAGCCTCAAGGCCCTCAAAGCAGTTCTCTTTGAAGGCAAAGCCTGCAGGCCCACGCAGTGCAATGTAAAGATGCGGGACGCTCTCTGGAACTTCAGGATGCTCCTGGACCTGGCGGTCAGATGCGGTCAGTCTCACCATGTCTCACCTACACAATCCTACACACATCCTTCTTCCACTCACTACTCTTCCTGCTTGAGCCTCTGGCCTTGAAGAAGAAGGTGAGCAAGTTGAGGCGAAGCGGCCCGTCATCGCGCCCGTAGCCAGGCGCCTGTCATGCATTCTACCAGAGAGCCATTCTCAAAACGAGGACTACAAACGTCAAAGCTGAGCCTCATAAACTGGCGGCTGCAGTAGACCGGAATCGAGCAAAGGAGCAAGAACGCGAGGCACCTTCTGTGCACCGGAAGGCCAGGCTAAGGCACAGAAGTATTTACTTTCCTCGAGCGTTTGTCTGACGGCTTGTTCATGTCGGAATTGCAGCAACCATTCATGCAGTTAGTGCAGTTTAAGCCGACACTTTTTGAGAGGTCTTGTTTGACAGTCTGGCTTTCTCGTTGAGGGCCTGAGGACATCACACAACACCGGTCATTCTTTCAGGACCTTTTCCAGGGCTTGCAAATGACAGTCTTCTTATTATTTGGAATTTGAGTTGGTCACGCCAGCTGTTTCGCTGCCGTTTGCAATTCTGCGGAATTCTGCGGTGTTGGGAGGCATCTAGGAGGAGACATCTGACCCTAATTTGGGACGGCGCATCAGGGAGCATCAGGGGGCATCTGGGAGCTGGACGCCCTTCGGTCGAGCCCTTCCCTTGCTATGTTCCCTCAGATTCTTGGTTGGCGCCATTGCTCCGTGCTTCGTATGCTTTGTGCTCCGCTACTAACTGCTACGTCTCCGCATCTGGGGAGGGCCTTAAAAGCCTTAACACTAGCATGAGAATGTCAAATCTGCTGATACACATTGTATAGGCTCCAGAATCATGCAGAGAAAACAAACACACGTGCGCGCACAGAGAGAGAGAGAGGGAGAGAGAGAGAGAGGGACAAACACACAACAAAGAAAATACACAATCGATCGCCACAAAGTGCATCCTGCACAATGTGTGGCAAAACGGCTTCTTCCTGCACTTTAAACCACTACTTGGGAAGCCCAACAGCATTTACTTACTCTGATTTCCTGCATCTGCACCAGATGCGGTTTTGGGAAACAAGGTGCCCGAGGCGCCTTGTTCAAACTCTCCACAGGAACTCATGTACCAGACCAATCCAGACCAAACCCAACACACACTTTCAATCATTCCATATCATTCCCCCCTCCACTCTGATGCTCTTTCAGCGCGGCAGATTCGCGCACCAGCCCCCTGCCATACTGCACCGATATACCCACCGGACATAATTTTGCCATGGCGATTGTTGATCACATGTGATAACACTCTATGGTCGACTTGTGATGCAGCGCCAGTTGCAGCCGAGCTTCTGGAATGTCCTTGCCCAGGTCCAGCACTTTGTGTTTGGGGTAGAGATGCCTCTGCTCAGTTCTCTCATCATTGCACGGCAACCGTCTACTTTCCCCGCATGCTGGTGTTCCCCGAAAGAAAAAGAACAATAGAAGTCGTCATAACTCCGCTCGGGAAGTCCAGATGAGCAAAGGTGCAAGTCTGAATATGTACCAAAATTCCATGTTCCACCTTGGAGCGTGGGCTGCAAAGGATTGCGACTTCGACGGAAGCGGAATATTCGCATGCCTGCAAAGGTGGTCAAGGCGACATTGGAGCTCCACATAGCACTCACATGTGCTCACATGTTTGACATAGGCTCACTTGCCTGCCGGGGAAGTGCCACGAACAATATACAGCAGAATTTCAGGCCTTCGTTGAGATGGCTTCAGAACTTCAACACAACTATGCCGTTGCGTCAAGTGTGTCGGCAGAATACTGACTACTATTTGTTAAGCCAAAGGCAGCACCATGAATTCAATGGGGTTTAGGGGTTTAATATTGTGAGTTGCTCTTCAGTCCTCCTTCAACAGCGATTTCTATTCACGACCTGTGAACGTCTCTATAGAGACGACTACAGCTGTTTAACAGGCTTAACATTCGATATTGGAAGCACTTCAAGTCCCCAGGCGCAGAGCTGTGACAATGTTCTCCGTCACGCTGCAAATGCCGTTCGTGGCATCCAGAACTGGCCCGGAAAGGATCTCAGGCCAACAGCGAAGTAAGGTACCTCTTGTCAGTTCATCCCCCGCAAAGAGGAAGCCCGAATTCACCTCGGTTGATACTAGAAGTGGAACCATGAAGCATCGTCCCAACTCCTATCGACATCACCGTTTCTGCCCGTTTATGCAACATTGGGAAACGGAGTCAAAGGAGCCTCAAGCGGAGATGCAGTGTGCACATGAAATTCGATGATGTTGTCCGCATATCCCGCGAGGTTGCAAAGAGAGTTCGCACTTGCCCTGGAAACGACCCGCAGCTGTGGAGCCGGAACCATGCTGGCTTGCATTCGATCCAAGTTGAAATTGCCAGGATCGAAGCCCATCTCCAAGTAAAACGCATTCAACGACCGGGTGGGCGGTCTTTCCGGAACGCGGATACGTACTTGAAAGCCATAGAGATGCCCCAGCCGCATAACAAGATCAGGCAATATGAGTTCGTTGAACAACCTGACTTGCGGAGTTACAATGAGCTCGCAGAACTCGCATGTGACGTTGGGAACATACCCTCTCCAACCTTCTGCGACATGTGGAACCCAGACGTAGCCAACTGGAGCAAGCATACGGACATTGATAAGCTGACCATCACTGCTTGGAGTCAGAGGGTATACCGTCACCAATGTGCTCATGTCAAAGACAGATGTTGGAAGCAGAAGACTTCGCCCGAAATCGAGCGACAGCGGCAACGGCATAGGATCCTGATACACGCCCCAGCTCCTGTCCCAGTAGTCTTGCGGAAGTGTGTCAATGCGTGCAGAATTGAACTGAACTGTATATTTTGAGCCATCAACCATGTAGCCCTCGGGACTTTGAACCCAGATTCGCCAGTCGTCATGGTGAGATGCATCCCACAAAACTGCGTTGATGACACGGACCTTGAAGGCATAGTACTTATTGGAGATTAGCGTGCGACCAACCCTCAAGATTGCCCTTGTAAAATTTTCAGTGGCCGGAGGCGAAAGTACACTCCGTTTCCAGTTGTCAGTGGTGCAGTTGACCTCCAGGCCAAGACTGCTTGTCAGCGCTTGAGGTCCCAACACTGTCTCGCCCCATGGAAGTCCATCCCAATCTGCATAGTACGAGTCTTCCAGATTGCCAACGCTGCAATTGTCCGTGAAATCGAAGCCATCTGGTGCGTCTAGCAATATGTAAGACAATGAGGGCATCGCATGGATTACCTGAACAACAATGAAGAACGATCCGAGCTAATGATTTGATGCTTTCAGCGGAACCAACTTCTGCACTTCTGCCCAGTGCCTGGAAGAAGACGCTGAGCTCGTTCGTGGCTCCAGCAGAAAGGTTGGACGGTTGCAAGGACTCTCCTTCAAGAGGAGTGAGAACTGCCAAGTTGCCTGCCCAAGCATTCTGCAGTGCTGCCGTTTGCTGCCATTTGCTGCAAGTTGCTGCAATTTGCTGCAATTTGCTGCAATGCTGCGGCGCAAAGAGGGAGAAATGAAGATGAAGGGAAGGTGACGAGCCTCTGAGAGATGCATTGAAGATACTCAAAAGTTCGTATCAGTTTCCCACCATCGGCGTGGGGCGGTTGGACTTTTAAGTCAACCATTTTCCTCGCTGCTTCGCCCGGTGTCCCGCCACCTGGTCGTTGCCGAGAGACCCTCAGACAGTCCCGCCGAGTATCCCTGAGAAGCTGCAGGGAGCCCGAGTATCCATGGAGGGCCCACTCCCCACAGAAGCCCGAGTATCTCCTGTCCGAAAACGGGAAGATGGCCCCGAAAAACAAGTGTGTTTTTTGGACCGCGCAATGCCGAGGATGCGAGCAGGCTGGTCGCACTGGGAACAGCTAGAGAGAGAAGCAAGCAAAAGGCAATTTGCCTGTTGTGGTTGCTCGCACCAAGTGCCAACAAAGCAACAAAGTGCGAAGCTAATACATAAGGTTTGGGGTGTGATGCTGGGCCGAGGCGGACAGCTAGCAGGCATTTTTGCCTGGATTGTGCGCTTGAAACGGTCCTGAACTGAGCGACCTGGAACAAGAACTTGAGGGAGGGGGAGCTTTAGCAGCTCCAGAATGCAAGGCCGTGCAAATTTGTCTGCAGGCCCGGACATCTTAGCGCAAGTGCCTTTTTGTAAGGGTCCTTAAGGAAGGCCCGTGAGAGAGGGGCACCGCCTGCCTATTTCACGTGTGCGGATCGACTGAAGCCAAATATTGGATACAACTGTAGCTAGGCTTTGCACTGCCTGCATATGCAGCAAGACAGAGAAACCAAAATGCAGCAATCATGGCCGAGTTGCCAACCCAACCAGGCAAATCCGCCTCCTTCCACGAGCAATGTTCACATCATCACACATCTACTGGAGCAAAGATGAGCGGGCTTCCGTAAAGTCTTTTGCGGGTCCCGCGAGTTCCATGAGTTGATGCCTATGGGACGCAGCTGCATCTGACAACAACTGGTTCGTTCAGCCAACAAATCGAGCCGATCACCCAATCAAGTATTCTCATGAGCCCACGAAAGCCTACAATGCGCAAAGGCACACAACCAACTGCAGAAGCATTGTTTTTGCGGTGTAAATTGAAACACCTCTGAAGCCAGTCTTGGTGGACGACATTGGAGCATGATCGCAGCTGTCGACTCTTGACCACAAGTCCCGGCTTTATGTATGCGTGTGCACACATTCACATAGCGATTGAAATGCTATCCTGGCCGAAGCTAGCAGCTACCACAATCCAAACTCCACGCAACTAAAAGACAAATGTACATATCAACATGCAGCCCACCCTCGAGACAATACGGTGCAAGAGCTGTGCGGCAACATGATGGGATGGAGAAGTAGCAGGCTCCTCTGCCAGGGAGATGAAGTTGACCAAGCCGCCCAGCAATGTAGCATTTGCACCAGAGAGCTTGATTTGCCACAAGTTTGTGGGGTCGGTGCGCATCAGAGCCTGTCGGGCACGTGTTTGGGACCCGTAAGATGATCAATGTTTCGTCCAGACTTAGCAACAAACAAAAACAAGGAAGCTGAGGACATGCGTTGGCCAGCGAAAATTGTTTGCGGGTCTGCTTGCATCGACAAACAGAGCAAAACAAGAAGCCCGCAGCTCGCGTGCGGCCACCTTCAACTAAACTCCGCCTGTTCACCAACATTCGAAAACTTGAATCAAACGTCACCAGGGGGCAAGGTTGAGGTGCCGCCACCCCACACCCCGCACATACTCAGGCCAAGACATGCCAAGACTGAAAAAAACAGAATGAACAAGCGAAGCGATGCAGATACCTTCCTCCGAACCATGGCTGAGCTGCAGGCGACAATCAGATGCCGCGAAAAAGGCAAAAGCGTCACCTATTGGCTTCCCTGCAGATTCGACCCCTTGCCGCCTTCTTGACCTCGTTTTCGCTTTCTTGTTGACGTATTCTTGCTTTACCTTCTGTGCGAAGCAAGTCTGCCTCACCCCCCCTTCCCGCCCCACTTAGCTGACCCCCGCACTCCGGCCACCCCCCAATCTCCTACGACCACCCCCAAAAACCTAGGTTTCCTGGAAGTGGCGACCTTGCCTCGCAGCTGCCGCAGCCACAAACCCCGGCCGAGGCGGGTCGCATGGTGATTACCAGGTGCTAGGCAAGATTGGCTTTGGACATCTTGCCTGTCGAGGGTTGTTAACGGAAAGGCGAACATAAAAGATCTGTCTGGCGAACACTGCAGCCCAGTTCTCCAAAGTGAAAGAGCAAACTGGCCCTTCATCGGACCAACTTCCGCTGAGTATTGTGCCCATAGGGTTGTCCACCTCAGTACAGCAGCGCCGACAAGTGAGTGTTCTTGTTTGGGGCGTCCGGGGCTTTCTTCTCGATACTATTTTGATAGGGGCCAACTCTGAACTAGTCTGCAGCCCAATTTGTTCAGCTTGGAAATGCCCTGCCGAATGCCAAAAAAGGATGTCGCCCACAGGTGGCGGGCTATGATAGGCTACACCATGATCTGTTCACCAGAGAATCTGCCATCAAGTCGAGACTCATAACCATCTCCATTTAGATCTCGGAGAAACATGTCCAAGGTCCCATCAGGGTCAGCTGTGCCATTTCCAACCACACTGCACGTATAGTCTGGAGGCAAAAGAATCTGCACCATGGGACGAGGAGCTGTCCTAAAGGACCCCTCGGTCGCGTTGTCCTCATCAAGCTCCGTATCCGTATCCAGACGCTCATCTTCTGCGGGGCTTCGTAGCGTAACTCCAATCATGAGTCGCACAATCAGCACATTCTGCCGTTCGAAAGCAAAAGGACGAGGACCGTTTCCGGTCTGACCGTCTACCACGATGCGTCCAGTTGTAGTGCCAGCAACTGGGATCCTTCGCATCGAGGGAGACACAAATGCCGTGGAGGGATTCAGACCATTGCTGTCGAGATATTCTGCCAACATCTGCAGGGTGAAGAAGCCATCTCGAGGAAGTCTGAGCTCCGAAACGTTCAACAAGTGAGCCTCGTCCCCACGCTCTTCGGGTACTGCCTCCATCTGGGCAGGATACGAGAGGGTCACAGTGTTCCGCTGCATGGGGACGACGTTTTCAAAGGGGGTCCTGACAATCGGTCTCACCTGGCAATCCGCGGATTCACCTCACAGGTGCGATGCAAACCTCACAGCGCTTCGAAGGCAATGGAAAGTATCAAAGCAAACCAAGGCTGCGACGGCCCCGACCATCACTACACGAAACGCCAGAGATGGGCACACAATTGGCTTCGCCTGCGTGCTGCGTGCTTACATTCAGGCTCCCCATAAATGCAGCTTGACATGCTTGATGCATCTTGACAGCGCAGCAAGAGGAAATCAAGACTATAAGAAAGGCTTGCTCGGCCAAGAAGCAGAAGGCGATGCCAGAAACATCCCAAAGCGTAAACGGGCGAAAGAAGAGGTGCAGCTGCCCAGAGCGCTCAATTGGCCAAGCCGGATCCTTTGGCCAAGCGCGGATTCCAAATTGCACGAACTCCTGCAGTCTTCGCGGGGCTTCACCAGTTTGCATTTTGCAAGAAAATACGAGCAGGGAAAGGACACAGAGAGTTTAATGGAAGTTCGTCCTGCCGCATCTCCGAGCCCCTCCGGCGCAGAAACCCTATGTACCCGTTACTGCAAAGTATGGAGAGGAACGGAACATTTCGAGCCGAGTATTGTGTGAAAAATGTAAAGGTATATCAGGTGTATCTTTGAAACTAAGAGAAGGGCGCCAAAGAGAAAGAGATGGATGTGCGTGTCAATGCGTGCGGGAGCGGCTGCGTGGGCGCCCAATCGGGCAGAGGAGGGAGGGCAGGTTTAGCCGTGGGCGCGGGAGCGGGATGGGCGAAGGCGAGGGCGGGCATGTGCGTGCCAATGCAACTGTGCGAGCGTACAAGCGGGCGAGTGTGCGGGTGCGCGTGTCCGCGTGTCCGCGTGTCCGCGTGCCCGCGAGTCCGCGTGCCCGCGTGCCCGCGTGTCCCTTGTGTGTGTGTGTGTGTGTGTGTGTGTGTGTGTGTGTGTGTGTGTGTGTGTGTGTGTGTGTGTGTGTGTGTGTGTGTGTGTGTGTGTGTGTGTGTGTGTGTGTGTGTGTGTGTGTGTGTGTGTGTGTGTGTGTGTGTGTGTGTGTGTGTGTGTGTGTGTGTGTGTGTGTGTGTGTGTGTGTGTGTGTGTGTGTGTGTGTGTGTGTGTGTGTGTGTGTGTGTGTGTGTGTGTGTGTGTGTGTGTGTGTGTGTGTGTGTGTGTGTGTGTGTGTGTGTGTGTGTCGTGTGTGTGTGTGTGTGTGTGTGTGTGTGTGGTGTGTGTGTGTGTGTGTGTGTGTGTGTGTGTGTGTGTTGTGTGTGTGTGTGTGTGTGTTGTGTGTGTCTGTGTGTGTGTGTGTGTCTGTGTGTCTGTGTGTCTGTGTGTCTGTGTGTCTGTGTGTCTGTGTGTGTTTCTGTGTGTGTCTCTTGTGTGTGTGTGGGTGTGTGTGTGTGTGTGTGTTGTTCTGGGTGTGTGTCTGGTTGTGCGTGTGTGTCTGTGTGTGGTGTGTGTGTGTGTGTGGTCTGTGTGTTGTGGTGTGTGTGTGTGTCTGTGTGTGTGTGTGTGTCTGTGTGTGTGTCTGTGTGTGTGTGTGTGTGTGTGTCTGTGTGTGTGTGTCTGTGTGCGTGTGTGTGTGTGTGTGTGCGTGCGTGCGTGCGTGTGTGTGTGTGTGTGTGTGTGTGCGTCTGTGTATCTCTGTGTGTGTGTGTGTACACACGGACACACACACACACACGGACACACACACGGACAGAGACACACACACGGACACACAGACACACACACACACACACACACGGACGGACACACACGGACACACACACACACACAGACACACACACACACACACACAGACACTCACACAGACACACACAGACACACACACGGACACACACACACGGACACACACACACACACT